AAGTAGAGAGAAAAGAGAATCTTTGACTTTTTGGTATGAATTATTGACTTTTTGACTAATTTAGTAACTTTTTGACTTTTTTGCTAAAAAGTTCGGTTGCCAAACGAGGCCTAACGGAAGGATTAAATTATAACGAAAACTTAAACCTTAGGGAGGAAGATGTAATTTCCAGAACTTAAAAGGGATACTTGTATTAAAGACAAATCTCAAGGGGTGAGTGCAATTTACCCTATATTTTTACACATATATAAGCTTAACCAATTCAAATAGCATTTTATAAAAGAAACGCAAGAGATGGAGGGAAAGCGGTCGAATACGAAACCCAGCGATTTGTTGAAGAAGATCAGAGGTAATTTCAATCGATCCCAAACCACTTCAAGTAAATCAATCATCTATTTGATCCTTCTAACGATGATTTTTCACTTATCCTTCTCATTTTTTATTTTTGGATTTTTTGTTGGGTAGAAATAACTCGATCGATTCTCGAAGATATATGTAAAGGACGATCGCCATCGCTATACATCGATCGCTTCAGAAATTATTGCACAGGCGATACTGGAAACTGGTTTGATTCCTTTAATTGCTTCGAATCTGAATTTCTCTGCTGTTTTTTAGAAGTAATTTAGTTTTGAAAGTCGAATTTGCTCTGAGTTTTGCTTTGAATGGAAACGAATACAAGTAATATACTTCCGAAATGATAACCTAATTCTGAATTGAGCTTTTATGTTTGGATGATGAGAACTGGCAATCTCTTTGGCTTCTCTACTTGTTTGATTTGTATTGAGTGAGTTAAGCTCTTTAGAAGTACTTATTCAGTTGATGGGAACATTGAATTTTGATGATATTTGTATTTTTAGGCTGTGTTTGGTTCATGGATTTGGAAATGGAATGAGAAAAGGTATGTGAAATGTGAATGAAATATAACTACATTTCATACACTTTTTCTCTCTGTTCCTTTCCATGAACCAAACACAGCAAAAGGGATCGTTTGGATGCAAAGCCATTGCATATGTTGTCTGTCTTTCAAAGTAAAGGGGGAAAGGAAAAAAAATAGAGTGAACATGTGTTTTGTGTCTGAGTTTTTGAAATTACTATGCAATAACATCGAAGAAGCCGAAGGCTGTGTTTGGATCATAGATTTAGGTAGGGATTTGGAAAGGGAAAGGGGAAAAGTGGGTTCCATTTTTTAAATTTCTATCCAAATCCATGATCCAAACACAACCTAAGGTATGAAAAAGTGGAAATCAAGTTTTCAATGCAGGGAATGGGAAGAAAAGAAAAAACATAAAATTTTACCAAAGGGACCATCGTTTAGTTTTGGAGAAAACTTATTGTAGAGATAAATGAACATGGCCCTCATACACATTTATTTGTCACCATTTTTAGATTTCTACGTGGATAGCTAATTTGTGACAATTTTTTTATTGATATATATTTTTAATTTATGTAGCTACACTACTTACAATTCTGTTTTACAGAATCATTTAACTGCTTTTGGGTTTCAAATTAAGAGGTAATTTTCCTCATCTAAGATGATTACAATTTACAAGCATATCATTGATGAATGTGTTTTAAAGGCCTTAAAGATTGTGATTTGCTTCTTTAGGGAATTGACTATTTTGTAAGAAACAATTCATATACTCTCTTTGTCCCATATTTTTGGTCCACTATTCCATTTTGGGGCTCCAAAATGGGTGTCCCTTTGAAAATTCAATAAACTTAATCTCATAGACGGATAGTTTTGAGAATTTAGACTATAATGGTTGGGTTTAATGCATACCATGCTTGTCCCCTTAAAACCTTAAAAAGTCGTATTTCTTATAGGAGACACCCACCCCCCCCACCCAAAAAAAGAAAAAAAAAAAGAAAAAAAAAGGATGTAGGGAGCATTAAAGTATATCCAGTGGAAGTTAACTATTTACATAATCATACTCAATTTATATGTATTGTGTGTATGCAGTTTTTGCAGCTTGGATTTGCCCATTGGAAAGGAAGTTCTTGCACTACAGAGGGAGTGCCATGCACGTAGGCTAGGTGAGTCATGCTTGGTGTGTAGTGTCATAATTTCTATTGCTTCCCCACGAAGTTTTGAATTTGTTAAAAAGATAAGATCAGCATAAAGTATGGTGTAGGTGCTCACACGGTCTCTTCATTTTCAGATGTCTTGCTAAGAGTGCTACTGATTGTTCAGCAACTTCTACAAGAAAACAGGCATGGTTCAAAAAGAGACATATATTACATGCATCCTTCTGTTTTTCAAGGTGAATCTAGTTTTTTTCTTTTGGCATTCATATCATGGTTACTTGAAAGTCTGAAAATAATATGCTTGATGTAATTACTTCCAACACGATGCGTTATGCTACAAAAGTTTGCATTGCAAGGTCCATTTTCATTTAATTATTATTTATTATAGTAAATCATATTTAAGGAATAAGGAAGATGTACCATGGTAGTTAGTAACTATGATTCTGTTAGAGATTGAAGAGAACCTGGAGTATCATTTTTTGTGTCAGCTGCATTGTCTTTGAGACTCCAAAGCTCTTCTGTGCATAACGTTTTTGCTTTCTCAATGTAATGCTCTACTTAATGGAGACTACTTTATATATATATATATATATATTTTAAAAATGTAACACTCTCTTTCTATTTATGCAAAGCAGAGCAGTCAGTTGTAGACCGAGCAATCAACGACATTTGCATCCTTCTGCATTGCAGTCGCCACAACCTAAATGTGGTATGACAGTGACACCTTGCTACTAGTACATGATTATGAAATCTTTGTATTCGTTCTTCTCTAGTTTACTTCAAGTTTATAGAAAACATTTTGGTTGATTTCTATACATGAAGTCACATACTGCTTTGCTGTGCCCTATGCAGTAAACAAAAACATTGGCTTCACTACATTCTTACTGTTGGAAATCTCAATTGATATTGATGTGAAAAATGTTTCGTTAACTCACGAGGTCATAAGTTGAGAAAATTTTCCTAATGGGTTGATCGCTGGCTGTTTTCCAAACTCTTGCTCTGTGTTTTAGTTTCAAAGTAAACTTGCTATCTATTAAAATATTGGGTAAACTACCAATTTCGCATCAAGTCCTATTGAAAATAAGTCTTAGCAAAACTGTCGCTAAAAATAGGTTTTTGTGACGATTTTTTGCAAATGTCGTTAAAATTTGACAATTAGTGACTTTTTTTTGTCACAATTTTTATAAATTGTTGCTAAAAACTTATAATTAATGACGTTTTTATGTGACGAATTTTTTAAACTATCACTAAAGCTTATAATTATGACATTTTGTGTGACAATTTTCAAATTATCAATGAAAATTAACAATAAGTGACATTTTTTAATAATATTTCATGAAAAACACCATTAATTATTATAGGACCTATTGAATAATAAGTCTACTTATTATGACCTACACGTAAGTCCCCCTTAAATATTTATTTCATGTTGATTTCTTTCTGCAGGTGTCTGCTGGAAAAGGGTGGGTACCTACTTACGAATCACGATCACTTGATAATTATTCTGTGAAATGAACATTCTCTTTAAACAATTTACTCTGAGTATATTTTGCATTTGAAATGTATGTGCTCTTTCTGATGACTGTAACATAAGTTTTGTAGTCGTCCCTATTAGTTTCATATAGCACAACTGTGTCTCTGTTCATTCGAGTAGTTTTATAATTCATGGTACTAATTAAGGCAAAGTGGGAAACTGCATCTGCTGATGATTTCTAGTGATTAGATATATTATAATGATTTCCTGTAATTTTATGATTTTGATATCTACCCTAAGTTAGTATTTCTTTTTCCATCTTAAGATCCTTGTCCATAGTCACTCTGGTTGAAGCATCTGCATGGAGAACCAATATGCAATGTGCTTCATTTTATGTTTTATTTCAATTATGCCTGTATAGATACTACCTACCTCTTTTAGCCACTGCAATTGTATTACAGCATTTAATACTATGCATAATTTCTCACTTACCTAATATCCACCAAGATGAAGACATTTTCAATTTGTTGAGTTGATATCATGGCTAGCCTCTGCTCATTCCTTAATGTTTCATTGTCCTTACCACTTAGTATGGCATTGGTCCTAATACTTATTGGCATTGATTCCATGCTAGATTGGTGATGGGTTGGTTGAGATTCCTAGAAGCTGGAAGGAAATTTGATTGCATAAACAATCTTAATACTGTAAGAAAAGGAGATTATCTTTTTAATTATATGGCATTACAATCTCAACTAAAATGTCCATATCTGGTGATTTGGCAGGCTCATCCTGTTCCTGTGCATGTTGAAGAAGTCAAAGGTATCCAGATTCCAAAGGATTGAAAGAGTGATGCTTTTTAATGAAATGCATTTCTATGGTTTGGGCTGTGTGACCTTTACCCTTGAAATAAGTACTGTAGTATGAACTTGATTGGCCGAGGATTATTTCATTTATTTTATCAACTCTATGCTAAAACAAATATGCTCAGAAATAAATTGATTTCCCCCTTAATTCTTGCACATAGATATAGTTAGTGTTGCCCACTACATACTAGTCATAGAGAAAGAATCAGGTAAACCTCCTCTTTGGTAAGATTCATGGTTTAGCTTGATTTTTCTATTTGTTTGTTGACTTCTAATGGTAACAACACCGTTGTTGAGTTTTCATCTCGCAGTGTTCCAGAGATTAGCAAATGATCAGTTTTGCAAAAGAAATCGCTGCATCATAATCACAGTAGGTATACCTTTAGTTCAACTTATCCTTAAAATCAGTTTTAACTATGTTTTTCTAACAGGGAAGAGGATATCCCGATGTCCCCACAAGAAGGTAAAGCTTCATATTTTACCTTCTCAAAATATTCCTCTTTTCGTTTTGGTCTTACATCTATTTGTTCTTCTATAATATATGCATCATTACTCATTTAGGTTTTTACGGCTTCTTATTGAAAAGCTGAGCCTGCCTGCCTATTGCTTGGTAGATTGTGATCCATACGGTTTTGACATCTTGACCACTTACCGTTTTGGTTCTATGGTAATGTTTCTTGGTTAAAGGATTTTTGAATTTCATTGTCATAAGCAATCTGAATTTGTTCTTCTTTTTTTTTTTGTCCTTTTTTTTTTGTGGCTCTAATGTTTTCATTCTTTTTGGAAGCAAATGGCCTATGATGCACAATTTCTACGTGTCCCTGAGATACGTTGGCTTGGAGTTTTTCCTTCGGACTCTGAGAAATATGATCTTCCACAACAGTGTCTCCTTCCTTTGACAGCAGAAGGTGAGATGGGTGTCAAATTGTTTATATATTTTTAGAAGGCTTTCTTTCATTTTAGTGAATACATATCAATTTCTTGTTAGATAAGTCAAAAATTGAAGCAATGTTGCCAAGGTGTTACCTGCAACGAGAAGTTCCTCATTGGAGGTAGATTTCTGTGACTTCTATTTCTTTTTAACTAACTTTCTATTTTTCTCAACTAACTAAAAAAAAACTAGTTATGAAAATATGGTTTGTTTTCGATGTTAGATTGGAACTAGAATTGTTGCTGCAAAGAGGAGTGAAATTTGAGATTGAAGCATTGTCTGTGCGTTCACTTTCATTCCTATCAGAGGAGTACATACCAACCAAGATAAAAGGTGGAGTGCACATCTAGAAGCTTTACATTTGCAGTATTATATGCAACCATATAGAGCACATGATGTGATTTTTGTGATCTGCAAAACAGGCAATTTAAACCATGGCTTTGTTAGATATTTTCACTACAGACAAGAAAATAATTAAAAAAAAAGGGAAAAGATTATATTGTTTCTAACAGGTTACAGGGCTTTGTTAGATCTATCTAAGGCTGACATTTTGATAATTGGTTGGTTGTCTGGGCCTTCATTATGTGATGTTTTACAGTTTTACACACTTTCGTTCCCACCAAACCCTCATCCCACAAACAATGCTTTGACTGAGGAATATTAAGCATGTGAGATCTTTCAATCAAATTTGTTAATTTACTTGGAGGGAAATAGATTTTTGATTAACTTTCCAAATTAATTTTTTCCTCCCTATTGTGTTGGTTTGAGGGCCGCTTGGCCAATGATAAGGCTTGTTGTTAGCGTTTGTAGGTTTGAGTTATAAAATAACTTCTCCAGAATTAGGGGGTAAGACTACTTGCATCTTGCTCTCCCATACCCTGCTTTAGAGGGAATCTCGTGCATTGGGTCGATTTTTTTTTTTTATAATTTTTTTTCTTGGCATACTAAAAGTGGGTTGTGTTTATTAGAACCTAGTATAGTTGATACCTGGCTGATTTCACCAACTACTAAACAGCACATTGGGCTGTTCACTTGTTGGGCTCTGTTGGATGGGCTTGAGCATGAATTGTAAAGGGCCACGTCTTTTTTTTCTCTAGTTCATTGGGTTCATCTTTTAATGAAATTTGGATTGTAATAGAGATTGGAAAACAAGCATCACAATGACATCCATTTGAAAGGAGATGAGGAAGAGAAGGCCAACTCAAAAATTTAAATTTTAAATTTTGAATTTTTATTATACTTAATATGAATTTACTAATAAAGACATTACATATAAAATATTAAAATAAAATATTATTTTTTTCTCATTGTATACCCTAATCAATTATATGTCTTCTTATTCAAATTTCTTCATTTTTTCTCTAAATTTCAATTATTTTCTTTTCTTTTCTTTTTTTTTCACTCCAAAATTTCAATTCACTCCACCAAAACACACCATTATTTTTTATTGTATTATTAGTTGTACTTAAAAAACCTGCCGCTTTCAATGAACATTTAATTATATATATGTATATCTCAGTATGTATACATGGTTTTCATTTATCAAATTCAAGCTTCAAATATCACTTATTTCAACTTATGTACATCAACCCTAAATTTGTGTTTGTGTTTGTGTTTCTTATTTTACTAAATCATGAATTTTGTTTGTTCTAATCATGTGGATTAATAGTCCAATCATGTCATTAGTGTAAAATTGCTATCTTTTGGTGTATTATTATGCAAACTAGGTTAAATATAATGAACTTATATGTATATATATCTGTATGTATGTATATATATATATATATATCAAAATCAAGTTTTAAGTTTGACTGATTTGGTCTAATATGCATTACGTTGGTTATCTGAAAAAATAATGTGTATTGGATTAATAACAAGACAAGTCACTAATCCTAAGTTCAAAAGAAAAGTTTTTCAAAATTAATTTGAATTTTTTAATTTATTTTATTTGGGTGTACTTCAAAAGGGTAATTTGGGGAGAAAAAAAGGTGTACTGAAAATAAATTTTATTTAATAGGGTGTATTAAAAAATTGGGCTCACTTAAATATTTTTGGGTGTAAATAGAATTGTCCGGAAGAGAAATGTTCTTTTAACTTCATTCAGGCCTTGTTTGGCATGATTTAAAAAAGTCAAAAAGTTAAAAAGTCACTATCTTATTTAAATCACATCATCTTATTTAAGTCACATCACCTTTTTAACATATCACTTCAAACTCATATTTCATAAAAAGTCAAAAAATACACTTATTTAGATCATCTCAAACCATCTCTCAATATATCACAAGTAAAATTCTTTTCCAATAACCTTTTCAGCAGTATTGGGTAAAAATAGAAAAAAAATTTATTTCAAAACAATAATTTATCTTTTTTATCAAATAATTTTGTTAATTATGGCATTATTACCAAAATAAAATAATTCTTCAACCTAATGTCATACACACTCCCAAAAAATGATTTTTTTTCATCAATTTTCTCTTTGTATCGTTCCAATTTTATTAGATGTCCCAGAGGGACCATCAATTTTCTCTAGTTATACTGAATATTCAATAGTAAAAAGACACAATGAGTTACTTACCCCCAAAATCCTGAAAATATTTTCAAACATTAAAAAAGACATTAATTAGAGGTGAGATGAATTATTATGGTATCTAGAGACATAAATTTGAAGTACGAAGAAAGATTTATTGAACCATATTTAATTTCCACATGAACCAATTAGAAGCTTGCCTTTATATTTTGTTATGGTAATTCAAATGCTATTTGATTCTGTTTCCATTTTTCATAATGTTATGAATATTGAAACCTCTCAATCTCTATAAGTACACACATAAGTCCCCATTTAATCCTAGGGTTGCATTCATCACAAAAGAAGAAGTTGCAGATTATAAATGGAGTCCTACGCAGATGTGGTTAGAATTACTTGATCATATTCATATATTTTACTTTGTTAACTTTATACTTTTATTGAAATATGATTTTTTTTTTTTTTTTTGGGTGTAGGGTTGTGTTCTTATGCTGTGTTTGGTTGGGGGATTTGGGAAGGGATTTGGAAATGGAAAGGGAAAAGATGTGTGAAACTATGTGAAATATAAATATGTTTTATTCACATTTCACATACTTTTTTCATTTCCCTCTCCAAATCCCCCAACCAAACACAACATTAAGGTGAATGTCCATTGTGAGGCATGCAAGATGAAGGTGTATGAAGTTCTCAGATCCATCTCTGGTAATCTTCATCTACGTTGAATCAATCCTAAGCTTTTATTATTATGTTTTAATTTTTTTTAGTGTTTTTCTCATTTTCATTAAACTTGCGTCAACCTTAACATTTTCAATAATGTTATACTTGTCATATTTTTATATTATATTATATTTATTATTTAATACTACAAATCTATAACTAGTTGTCTAATGGATTCCATATAATCTCATTAATGTTCAACAATTGTCAAGAATTTCACATAAGACAACAAATAAATAAAATGATATAAAAAAACGAAACGTGTAGCATTACTCTAGTGTTTTTAAAAAAAATTCAAACATACATGAACACATTTTTGTTTACTAAGATGGAGAGCGAAATTTTCATGTAGAGAATCAAAATCAGGTACACTACAATAGAGAGTGAGATAGGGAGTTTATTGGAGTGAATTTTGAAAATTTAACCGTCTATTATAGCCAACGAGGAAAAATAGAGAGGTTATTGGAAATGATATTAAAAAAATATAAGTTATTTATTCTGTCTCATTTTGTTATTCTATCCAAATTATTAGTTATATTTGAAGTCAAAGTAAAAAAAATATATAATTTTCCAAAACTATCTTTTAAAAGTGGATATAAATAGGTATTTAAAAGAAGAGTAGGAGGGTATTGCTAAAAATAGTGAAAGGTTAAAATTTCCAAAAAAAATGACTAACAAACCTTCAAATTTAACTTTGACCGTTTACTCAGTTAAATTTAAATTATGGAGTGATTTAATTATTGCAATTAGAATTTAGAAAGTGAAAGATCAAATAAAATTCAAATAAAAATTAAAAAGTAAAAGAAAATAATTGAACTAATATTTTGTTTGAATTATTTTATTAGGAGTGTATTCGGTGACTATAGATGCAGAGGAAGGTCTAGCAAAGATTTCAGGGAGAAGTGGATCCAAACATACTTCTCTAGCCTTGGGGAGAAGTGGAAGACATGCAGAGCTCAAATGGGTGAAGCTCAAAAGTACGGCACCAAACAGAGCCTATTGCGATGATCACAGTCACAGTCACAGTCAACGTAGTCGTAAACCCGTGCTTTGACTAATAAATTCATAGACCCTGACTAATAATTAAATCAATAAACTATCCTAGCCATTGCTTTTTGAAGCAGGTACAATATAGTTGTTTGTATCTCCAATGATCAATGACATCCAATGCATAATTTCAATACAGTAGGCTTAACACAACTGAACGGACACTCAGGCAAAGCTTTCATTCCTAACATAATGCCACTCAATGGACACACCCATACCCATTTTTTCAACAAAGGTCTTTCAATTTTTCTTTACATATATTTGTCTTCTTCAAGTGGTTGTTGAAGTGTTCCCATACAACAATGAGGACATCTTCTAATGCTGTGTTTGGTTGGAGTTTTTGAGGTGGAATTTAGAAAATGAATGAGAAATGTAATCCTATTTATGTTTGGTTATAATAAAAAATATATGAGAAAAGAAAGGGGGTGAGAAATAAATAAAGAAATAGGATACCTTTTAGGACATCAATTCTATTTTATAACCAACACAACCAAACATAGTTGGGATTTGGAATTCTATTAATTCTTTCTCCTTTTCCTTTCATTTCCATTTCCCTTTCCATTTCCCTTGTTTGTTTTAGAGAAAAAAATTTCAATTTTTTTTTTTGAAAAAATGAAAAATAATTTGATAAAAATAAATATCAAAAAATATTTTTAAATACTTTAAAATTATTTTTGTCATCCCAAAAGATAAAATTATGTAAAAATGACGAGTATTTTTTTATTTTTTTTACCAAATTCAGTTTTAATTTTTTGAAAAAAAAAATTTGCATCAAGTTTTTAAAAATCAAACCAAACATGGCATTACAAGCCTATTCAAACTATACACATCTTTATTTTTAAGGTTTGTCAAATCAACGTAGTCGTAAACCCGTGCTTTGACTAATAAATTCATAGACCCTAACTAATAATGAAATCAATAAACTATCCTAGCCATTGCTTTTTGAAGGAGGTACAATATAGTTGTTTGTATCTCCAATGATCAATAACATCCGATCCATAATTTCAATACGAGTAATGCTACGTATCATGAAAAAATTATGACTCTTGAATTACACTTAAACTAAAACATTACACACTAATCAAGGCAATCCAAGAGTCATAAATTTTTCATGATCAATTTCATAAAAAAATTTTCATGATCCCTATCTTTTCTCTATCAATACATTAGGCTTAACACAACTGGACACTCATGCAAAGCTTTCATTCCTAACATAATGCCACTCAAGGGACACACCCATACCCATTTTTTCAACAAAGGTCTTTCAATTTTTCTTTACATATATTTGTCTTCTTCAAGTGGTTGTTGAAGTGTTCCCATACAACAATGAGGACATCTTCTAAGGGGTCACTTTTCAAAATCTCAATTTCCAAGTCCCTTAACGTTTGTCATTTCAATTATGTTGTCTTTGTGTGTCTCTCTCCCTTTTTTGAACAATTTGTGTCTCTCTCTTTAGTCCCACCAATTTGGATGGATCTTCCTTCTAGATCTTACCCACCAGCACCGGCATTCATTGATATCTGCAATTGCAGAGGAGTACTGGATCAAACATGTAATCATTTAACATGAGATTGATGAGAACACAACCATTGAGAGAATTGCTTTGTAATGTGATGAGCAATGGGTACTTTAGAATATTTTTTTTTTGAAAAAATTACTATTCAGTGGTAATATCAAAATATTATTGCAGATTTATAAAAATTTATAATTTTAATTATTAATATTTATGAAAAAATTTCACTTATTTGTAATTATTTACTTACGTTGTACTGAATTATTATTATTATTTTTTAATTTATAGAAATAATCTTAAAATGATATGTCGTATAACTGAGATTTAATGTTGAAAATCTAGAATATTAAATCTCAGTCATATTACACATTACTCTAGGACGACGGACAGATCTATGCTTATGATATAAAACACACATAAGTGAGAGAAGAATAAAAGTTATATATATTTTAGAGTCCTGCTAAAATTTAATTAATTAATATTTATGAAAAAATTTCACTTATTTGTAATTATTTACTTACATTGTACTGAATTATTTTAATTTTTTTTTAATTTATAGAAATAATCTTAAAATGATCTGACGTATAACTGAGATTTAATGTTGAAAATCTAGAATATTAAATCTCAGTCATATAACACATTACTCTAGGACGACGGACAGATCTATGCTTATGATATAAAACACACATAAGTGAGAGAAGAATAAAAGTTATATATATTTTAGAGTCCTGCTAAAATTTAATTACAAAAAAAAAAAAAAAAGGTCTTGCTAAAACAATTCATTGAAGTGTTGTTAAAATGAAAACAATGTCAAAATGGTGGAATTTTTCAAGCATTTTTTAATATAATCATATACAAATTTTCATCCTTCTATACGATATTCACTACTTTTTATATACTTTTTATATCTATATTAAGATTCATTTATTCTAAAATTCACGTTCATGAGTTTCATATTTTTTGAGTGATTGTCCGTCAAAAATTTTCTTATCACAATATCGTTTTCAAATTATATAACTCCAATGACTTTTTAGAAAATTTAATGTCCCCATAATGTTACAAATTTTTTTTTTTATTGCATGAATTTTAAACCGTCCCAATAAAAAAAAGAAGTCTTTAATGATGATAGTTACATATTACAACCCCAAATGTAATTGAGACCCCCACTCCCCACGCACACGTGGGGTTAGTAATTGAAAAATAAAAAATAAAAAATAAAAAATCTTGACCAATCACACTCCACTAGGGGTCCTTGGAGTCATCCCAGTGGGGTTTGGAACATTTTTCTTACAACCCTTTTGTTACGTTTTCCACTGTAAGCTTTCCAAGCGTTTTTATACTTTTTTAAAAGTAACTCTTTACAGTAGCAGACAAACTAGAATCAATTAATCTTTCAGCTTTGTCTCTCAAGTCCCCCACCACTCTCAATTGACAATCCACCCATAAATTGATAGTTTTTTTTTTTTGTTTGTTTTTTTTAATTGAATATCTTGCTCAGTTTATATGTATCTCGACTAATTCAAAAGTGTTGAAATTAACAATTAGACAAACTTTTATTGATCCTTGAAATGATTCAAAATCAAAATCAAAATCTTAAATTTTATTGTTAAAATTGTATCGCTTAATAAATAAGGATTTCATTTATTTTAAAAGAATAAATCTCATAAGCGAAGAACAAAATAGGAAGTACAACTCCAATTTTGGTTGGCCTTTTATAATTTTACATATTTGAATGTTGAATTTGTAAAGAAATTATGAAAAAAGAAAGGAATTTGTGAAAAAATTTAGTTTCTATTTTATTAGAAAGTTCTTTCATGTTTTTTTCTTTCACAATTTTATACTAATCGAATATTCAAATACAACTTGAAAGAAACAACAAAAGAGGCGACAATCAATAAGGAAAAATAAATAATACAATGAAGTGAATGTGCTAATACACTACAAGAAAACACATTTTTGGCGACCATGTTTGGCTACCAAAACAAATTTAGTCCCCAAAAGTGTGGGAATTGGCTACCAAAATTAATTTTAGTCGGCAAAAGTCAACTTTTTAGCAACTAATTTTTTTTCGTAGGGGAATGTTAATTATTGGCGACTAAAAAAAATTTAGTAGCTAAAAATATTACAATTGGCGACTAAAAAAAAATTTAGTAGCTAAAAATATCACAATTGGCGACTAAAAGAAATTTAGTCGGCAAAAATGCCAGAAATTGGCGACAAAAAATACTTTTAGTCGCCGTAGGTATATATTTGGCTACTAAAACCTTTAGTCGACAAATGTAAAATAAAAAATTAATTTTTTTTAATTTTTCTCCTTTTCCTTATATTTGCCCTAGCCCGTTACAGATGTTCTCTCTCTCTCTCTCTCTCACGGTCTGAATCTCTCAATCCCTTCTCCTTCATGTTCTTCTCAATCCCAATCTGGTAATTCCGACGGACTTTGCAAATGGAGTCTCACGGCGCCGGTGAATAGATTCAGTGTGTGCGTGTGTGTGTGTGACAGAGAGAGAGAGAGCAAGAGAGTGCGTAAAAAGTGAAGCCTTTTGGTTCAAAGAACCTCCCTCTCTGTTTCTCTTTCTGAAATCGTAATCTGAGCATCAAATGCAGAAGAAGAAGAAGAAGAAGAAGAAGACAATCAGACCCATAATTACACCTCCTCCTCACGCGGTAAATCCATCATCACTCATATATTCATAAATATGTCGCGTTTTTTCTGATTTTGTTTTTAATGGAATCATTTGATCTTATTCAAGCTTAATTTGATTTTAAGGTAAGGTTTCTTTGTGTCTTGATTTGGGAGATGAACAAGGAACGCCCTCCTGAGCCTCTTGATTTCTTCATTTGGACTGTCGAGGTGCTCTTTTTAAATTTCTCTCTTTATATATTATATTTTATGCCGATCTATGATTCTGATTCATTCTTTTGCCTTATCTTGGTGACGTGTAATTGGGTTTTTCTTCTTTTTTTGGATGTCCACTGTTTGGTTGCTGAGAAAATGAAGGAAAAGGAAAGAAGTTTATGTCTTTTCTATCACTTGGACCTGAATACATGTCATTCCCTATATAAATATTTGGATTTTAATTTGGGTTTGGGAATCACTCAACAATAAGATTGGACTATTAGTCTTTTTGTTTCTGTTTGGATTTACCACAGCTTTCTCAGCAACTAAAGGAGAATTTGGGAATAAGAGATTGTTTGTAATGATATGCTTAGTGAAATTATCGTCAAGTACTTTCAGATGTTTTCCTTTGGCCAAGTTTTATTAAACTAAGAATTTGAAATTATGTTCTTGATTATTGACTTGGATTGTGTACGGTTCCTTGCAGTTATGTTAGATTTTTAGAGCAACAAATTTCAAGTGATAATCAGAATCTGGTATTGGGCTCACTTTGTTCATCCCAACTTATAAATAATTGATAAATTTAGGGCTGATTTAGTAGATGAGATATGGGTGTTTGAGTCTGGACTGTCCCCAGTTGGCTGGTTTGATCTGGTCTGTCTTTGGGTAGGAGAGTGTATCATTGATCTGGTTTTGCTACAGTGGGCTCCTGGTAAATCTGGGTGGTCTAGCTTAGGGTAGCAGTTTAGCTCTGCTTCTGCTTCTGGTAATCAATCAATCAAACTTAACTTAACTTAACTAAAAAGTAGTGAAAGTTTATTGAGTCACCTAAGTTGATTTTTATTTTTTGTTTTTTGATTTCTTCTTTTGATAAATCTAAGATGATACATTTAATCATATTAGTTCTATTATTTCATATTTGAAATGTTTGCTTCAAAGACCATGACAACTGGATCTCTGGGTTTAATTACAATACTTGTTTGTTCCCTGCAGAGTTCGAAGATGATCCTCACCTTTATGTGTTAAAGCCAACAAATGATTTCGTTTCTTTGGGATGCCCCAATTCTCCTTTATGTTTGGTAACAGAGAGATTTGAGGTCATTTTTCTTTGTGGAAAATATAGTTAGAAGCCTATGATGATAATTTAGTTTAAAAAAAGTATGATACTTGTTGGATAAGAACTTTGACATGCCCTGAATATTTTTACTCGCCATCATTATTTTTAATCCACATACATAATTGAATTGTAGATGCGAAACCCATTGCTGAAGCACCTGAGATTGAAGAAACATATATGAGTTCTCAGATTCATTCAAATGCTTCAGATGTCAAAGTTGGTAAGTAATTTAATAGGTGATATATGCTGAGATATGTATGACTACATTCACTTGCTTGTCATTTCTGTTGTGCTTTTAATTTTGCTTCAAGGCACTTAGATATATATGACTACATGACGAATCATTTGTTGAAAAATCACTTTTATGTATTATGTTGTTCAACTTGATCCTTTGTTCATGGATGGGCATTCCTTTGAGAGTCCAGGGTACTTTATGACTTTAAAAGAAGCAGAGCATGCTGCTGCAAAGGTTGCTTTGATGTCATTGTCGCTCGATGGTTTTCAAGAGGCAAGTTTATAGAGTAGTTCCAGTGCTATAAGAAATGCTACTACCCTAGTGATAGAATAGTTCTTTACAGTAAACTCATTTAAAAAATTTTAAAAAAAATATAGTATAGAGTAGTTCTTTACAGTAAACTCATTTTAAAAAAAAATTCCTCTTCTTCTTCTTCTTCTTTTTTTTTTTTTTGAGAAATGAGTTATAATTGATAGTGTAAATAGAGTCTTAATGTTGCATTAATCTTCTTGGAAAAATTATGTCTAACAGTTATTTTGGTCACTTTTATTACAGTTAGTTAATTGAAATAGTTCATTTATTTGCTTGCTTGGTTGATTAGCCTCACATGTTTATTTCCTACACAAGTTTGTTATATTTCTTCATATTGAATAGAGCTTGCAGGCTTAAAAATTGAGGTCTTGCTAACATATTGAACTTGGAGCATTTACATTGGATTAAGAATTTTAAATTTATTTTTTGATGCATTTGACTGATAGTGTAATAGGTATTTCTTGATGGCACAGAACATTTTCATTAATTTCTCTCCCGAGCAAGCGATGTAGTAGTAAGAATTTGATTCTCAGGTTTATTTTTCACAACATATGCATTTGCCTAATTTATGTATCACTATGGGTTATAAGTTCATATTTTTATTCACCCAAAAAAAAGTTCATATTTAGTTGGTACTGAACATGTGTATTTGTTTTCATTTAACTATGCCAGGAAATTGAAACTAATTTCACCAGCAAGGAGATTTGTTAGCATCAATTTAATTATCTTTCTATTTAAGTTGTTTAATTATCTATACTTATTTGCTAAATGCTTCCGTTGATTGGGAGGTTGATTATTATTTTGCAGTTGGTGTCTTTAGAAAGAAAGGTACCAAACTATATGAAGCAAGCTTGAAGGATGAGAAGCCTTTAGATCAACGGCTTCATTGTTAAATTAAGCAAGTGTTTTAGTAAATAAATTTAATTTTCCCATCATATTTACACCTTCAAAATATTATGTAAATGACATTTGATGTAGAATTTTGTGTACAAAGGATATCTGTTTTGTATGATTATCTGTTTGTATGGAATTATTATTTTGGGTTGGATTATATTTGATTTGTATAGAATTTGATGTTAAAACACCAAATTTTTGTATGGTTGAAACGAAATAGAAATATGTATTATTTTGTTTATATACAGGGTACAGGTTGCATGAAATAAATACAGGTTGTGGATAAATAAATTATAATAAAAAAAACACTAAATAAAGTTTTTGGCAAGTAAATGTTTAGTAGCCAAAAAAGAAAAAGTGAATTTTTTAGTGACTAACCAATTGGTAGTTAAAAAGGAAATCAATGTTTTTAGCCACTAAATATTTGGTAGCTAAAAAGAACGCAAAGATTTTTGGCTACTAAATAGTTTAGTAGCCAAAAATAAATGAAGACTTTCGGCGACCAAATGGTTAGTAGCAAAAAATAAAATTTAATGAAAAATAATTTTTTGGCTACTAAATTCTTTAGTCCCTAAATGTAGTAATGTTGCCGACTAAAACTTATCTAAGACTAAAATTTGTAGTCGCTAAAAAAAAAAATTAATTTTATTTGAACACTTTTGGCGACTAAAAATTTAGTCGCCAAATATCCCCTTTCCTGACTACTCAGAGTTTTGTAGCCAAATGTTCACTTTTGGCGACTAATATTTTAGTCGCCAAAAGATAACCTTTGCCGACTAACCAGACTTTAGTAGCCAAAACGTTCACTTTCAGCGACCAAAAATAGTTTAGTCGCCAATACTATCACCGACAGAGCATAGGCGACGACTTTGGCGACAAAAAAAATTAGTCGCTAATTTGTTTCGGGGACCAAAAATGGAGCTTTTGGTGACCAATATTTTGGTCGCCAAAAGTGTCATTTCCTGTAGTGATACGAATCCTTTGCCTTTTCTTTCCTATTTTGAATTGTGTGGAAAATAAAGGGGTTATGAAAAAAATTTGTGAACCCTATTGATATGTGAGAGATCGATATGGTATTAAAGAGAACAGAGTATATTTTGTTCAACCCACATAGCAAACTATATAATAATTAAAATATATTTGTACTTGTCTGAGCAGTTTGTGGAGGATAATATGACGACACGTAAAATGAAGAAGCTTTCCAATTGTTTTGCATGCTTCTTCTATCTTCAAGCCTGACCTTGTTAGTCACAAAACTTAGCTGCCAAGCTAATAATTTAAGGCTTACCAATGAACAATTGGGTGCCCTAAAAGAAACTTAATAATTATTATGCTTTACGGTTTGTTAATTAATTAATTGCAAGACAGTTAAACAGCTCTTGATATTATAAGGATTATATGATCATTCTCGTTTGAAAAAATGCTATGTATTTTAATTTTTTATTTTGAAAGTGAGGTGTATGGTTTAAATTGAAAGTTGAAGAGATGTGAGTTATATTTAAAATGATTATAATATTTTTGAATAATTTTTCTAAATATGTAATGTTGTTATTCTTGTTTTGGTAATTACTCTTATGCTTCCATATGATAGTTGGAATCATATATGATTATGTGGTATTTTGGAAAGTTGATAAAAAATTAATTTTTTGATTTTTTTGTGACTTTTTTGGTTTTTTTGTGAAAAAAAAGAGTAGAGAAGTGATATAACCCAAAAGAGTCAAAAAGTCAAAAAATTGACTTTTTACCAGCTTGCTAAAACCCCCCAATGTATTGAAAATTTCATATATCGAGGTTTTTGTTATATAATATGATTGGGAGTACATTGGATAGAGAGACCCAAAAAAATTAAGAACAAATGATTCATTGCCAAGTCTTAATTCAGTAAGAAAATGTTTCAAAAAATATTTGGTAGCGTTTGATTGAGTTTTAAAATTGTGATTTGAGAATAGAGTTGTATATTTAAGTTTGTGAGTTTTGAATTTTTGATGTGACATATGAAATGAGAAAAATTGTTTGGTTATGAGTTTAAAAAGAGTTTTTAAAACTTAATTAAAAAATATATAACTCATAACCAAACACACAACTCAAAACTCTATTGAAAATTCGTAATCAAACTCTTTTTTAAATTCAATTCAAAAAAATAATTTGTCATTTTGGTCTAAAAAAATAATTTCTATATTTAAAAAATATCAAAAGCAAATATAATTTTTTTTTCTTCAAATAACAGGTGGCGATTGGCAATTACAAAAAAAAAAAAAAGAGTACTATTCCGATCAATTGGCCGGACATTTGGGGGATGTCCAGGGACACGACCCAAAGCACAAATTCAAAAATCAAAAACTCACACTACGAAACACTGTCAAACATGCATTGGAATGTGTTTTCAAATATGGCGTTGAAATTAATTTTTGAAAACTCGTTTGACAACATCACTTTATAGGTTATAAGCCAAAAAGTAACTAAAAAAATTAAAAAGCAAAAAACTTATACAAAAAAGTCAAAAGTTCTCTTTTCTTTCTATTTTTTGCATAATTTTTTGTAAAAAATCAAAAGTCATCACAAACATACTAATTTTATTTTATTTTTTTACATCATATTTTAATTAAAAAATCAAAAAGCAATTAAAAAAAACTTGTTTCCAAACGAACCAAATATAACATTGAACTGTAGGGATGAAATTATAATTTGAAAGTTATACCAAACACAACCTTTGTTTCTCAATTCAATGGTGGACTCCTCTAATCTGGACAACACCTTTCAAAGCGGCGTCCAAATCCTTCTAGTTTTATCTTTTGTCTATGAATTATTATGTGAATGATTACTATACAAATTAATTAATTTACTTGTAAATTAAATACTCTGATTATGTATACTTATCAGTGTCCTTAAAAAGTTGTTTTATGTAAGTAAACTACCAGCACAGGTAATCCTCGCCTAAAGTGGAAGTACAATTTATAAAGAAGAATAAAGTTAAACAGGCCAAACACAAGACTATACAGAATATATCCTTCATCAAAGCTTTCCACCACAATAAAAAAGTAGGGTATAAAAAGACAAAAAAATAAAAAGAAACAAGCATAAATCATTTACACAAGCACCCAACAAAGAAAATTCGTATATAAAAAATAATATTAGTAATAAGAACAAAAGAAAAAATTATTTTACAAACATCATACAAGACTGATATTACATTTCTTCTTGCAAAAGTAAATTTAGGAATATAAAAACTAGTTATAGATTACACACAAAATATATATGAACAAATAAGATTTTTTTAAAATGGATTCCATCACCAAATATTATAAAAACTTTGTTCATTAATAAACTTTTTGCATTTTACGTTTTGTGATCAATTTATCTGTTCATAGCAGAACTGAAAGTTTTTAGGTGATTACTGAACCATGACTAGTTGTTGAGCTCCTATCCTCATTTCTTCCTTCCTCCTTCTTATGAACTCATCAAATTTCTTGTTTAATTCTTCTATACTCAACCCATGTTCTTCTTCATCTCCATCTCCATCTGCATCTTCATCTTCATCTTCTTTATTGATTAGAAAGTCAATAGTGTCCATCTCTTTCTCATCATTTTCTTCATCTTCTGTAGTTAAAACCCTAATTGGCCCTTCTTTCTCTTTATCTTCTACAATCAAGTTTGAGTCCTCACTTTCTTCTTCCATGGAGTATTCTTCTTCTTCAACAACAACAACATTCTCTAAGGGCAGCCCAGTAGTTCCCAAGGAAACTTCTTTCTCAAGCAATGACTGTCTAAACTCCGGCGCTGATTGAAAACCATATCCATGTCCGTTTCCAATCTTCTTGGATAAATGACCGTTAGGATCATTAGAAGTAGGCGAAAAGCGGATGAAGCCAGAAGTTTTAGCAAGGAAGACTAGGATTCCATTGCAAATGAGAAAAATGCAATTCTTGTCCATGATGTAGCTGAGGAGATGGGAAGAGAATGTGGAGAAGTAGGACTTGAAAGAATGGAGGAAGAAAGAGTGGCATGACGAATATGAGAAAAAGATGGAAAACAAAGAAACTGAGAGTAGCAACTGTGCAACTTTTTTGACAAATTGAGGGGTAATGAATTGAGTAAGACTTTGCAGGTTTTGGTACTCAGTTTGAGCCATGCTCTCTGTCTCTCTCTCTCTGTCTCTGTCTCTCTCTCTTATTCAGAGGAAGGTATATAGGGAAGAGGTTATGAACATTGAATAGGGTAGCAGTTATGAAGTTTGAAGGATGGTGCCTGCTCATATATATATACATAGAGGAGTTTGGAATGAGAGACTTAGATGGGAAGTAGAGGAGTTTGACAATATTACCCTTGGTTAGGTTAAAATGTTGAGGCACATAACTCTCATTTTTTAGTATGCAATTCTCTGTTCTCAATTTTGATTTTTTTTTTATTTTTTATTTGAAAACATTTAGGCTGTGTTTGGTGTGGAGTTCAAATCACGACTCCACACTTATATTTGAGTATGATGTTTGGTTATAACTTTCAAAAATTATTCCTCACCACTTTTGAAAACACATTTCAGGCGGGATTTGAATTTTGAAATTTGACCTTTCTGGTTGTCCTCCCGGAAGTCCGGCTAGTTGACCGGAACAATGCAAATATATATATATATATATATATTTGTAATTGACACCTATTATTTTTTATATATTAAATAAAAAATATTTTCCGAATTTTTTAAAAAATTTTATGAGCTTTGAATAGAATTTTAGATTGTGTATTGGTTATGAGTTGTAAGTTTTTGAATTAAATATCATGTCACGTCAATGCCAAACTCAATTCAAAATTTATAACCAAATAAATTTTTCACACTTAAATCATAATTTTAAAACTTATAAACTCAAAATATAACTCTATTTTTAAATCATAATTCTAAAATTCTACTAAACACAATATTAATTTCATTAAATTATATTTTAAAATTATCGCATTTTAAAATTTTAATGATCTAATAGTTATGATTATTTTGAGATAATGGGTATTTTGTGACAAAGAGAGAAAATCTTTGGGCCCATTTTTAGTTTCTTTCATTGTTAATTGGTCCCAGAGATAGTTGTACATGTGTGATGGAGGAAGGTTGCCGCGTGGGAGTGAGATTCCAATTTACTTTATTTTGAAGTGTCTACCCTAGCAGCTTAGAGTGTTCATAATGTTTACCAATTTGTGATTTTCTGCTTTTTGGCAAAATGATTGAGAGGTGGTGGTGTGTCCATTTAGTACCAAGAATTGATAGAGAGAAAGAGAGATGGTGGAAGATGAAGTCCTGGATCAGTAGGTACTGTTCTCTGATCAGTTAGTATGCAAAGGCCCGAAATGATTTGTGAATTTTAATATGATAAGTATTTAACAATATTTTATTTCAAAGTTTATATGATATGATTTTATATTATGATAGATATTATTCGTTTGATTTCTTTATACTGATATTATTTATTGGACTTTTAAATCATCCATTTCCCCTCCTATATGTATGTAGGTGAACACCAAGAGAATTATTCATAGAGTTTGCTTTGGAGTCTTCTTTTTTTGCATCAAGCCACCCAAGTGTGCCTCCGTGTGGAGACTTTAGTTTCGAGACTTAAACTTTGATTAAATTGTATATTTTGTTAAAAGTCTTTTATGTGGTGTGTGAGATATGCATAAAATATGTTTTTGTATATATATATAAAGTGTGTTAAGAATAGTTTAATTATTTCAGTTTATCATGTATGTACAGTTGAATGGATGTTTTTATTATTATTTTGCTTCCGTTTCAGGTCCCGATAATATTTAAAAATATTTTTTAAATTTTGTCTTTTGCAACCTGATTAGAGGCCAATTGCGGCCTAGACCTTTAGAGATGGGTTTGGATCGTGAGAGTAGGTATTGTTTTTTGATTAGTAGTAAGCAATTTGAATCAAATGGGTATGATATTTTCTTGAAACACTAAAAATTGTTCATTCATACACTTTACAAAAATCTTGTTTATCCAAATAATTTTATTTGCTTATATTCAACTTTTCCCTCTCCCACCCTCCTTTAGGCCAAACCTTTACTTTATGGTATACGTGTTGAACATGTTGGGTTTATGAACTAACCTAAACACAAAATCTAACCAACCTTCCACTCCACCTCCTAAAAACCAAAAAGCAAGAAACAAATTAGAAGAATCATTTAAATAAAAATAATAATAATTAATATTTATTGTTGAGTTTAAATTAAATTATAAGAAAAAATTAATATGTAATTTAAAAAATAGTAAGAAGAAGAAAAAAAATTATATTTAAATTATAACAAATTATAAGAAGAAGAAAAAAAAATAGTAATTTAAATTATATTTATTGTTGAGTTTATTTCATCATTTTATTTAACTTTTAACATGTATTCATGAATCAAATTAGTATGTAAAAAATTATACGAAAAACTGTGGGAACAAGAAGTAGAGAATTTTGATTAAATATTTTAGTCAGACAACGATTATCATTTAAATAAAGGTAAATTATCAATAAGTTCTACTTTTGGGATTTACTACCCATTAAATCCTATTGATAAATTTATCACTCTCTTGTTTTTATAAATAAATTTACAATGATAAATTTATCAGTCAGGACCTGTAAGTAAATAAGTCTAATTAATAAGACTGATTAGTAAAGACTCCTTTAAATAACAACAATTTTGTCTTTTATTTTTTCATATTTTATTTGAGTGAATTTTGAAAATTTCATTTTTGAAATTTTTGGGCCTAAATTTTTCCTATTGAATGTTCAAAAGGAAAAATTAGAAACTAATTTTCTTTATAATTTTTTTTTAAAAAAAAAAAATTAAGTTATGAGTTACTTTAAGCTTGGGCCTTAATATGGTGACTGAGGCCAGGACTTTAAATGGGCGGGCTGGAAGCCCAATATTCCAAGATTTTGGTGGGCTGAATGGGCCGGCCTTTATGTTCAATGCTTCAACTCGAAGCAAGCTTTTCGGGCCACAAGATTTGTAGACTATTTTTAACACTAATTTGGAGGAATTTTGTCTTCACACATCTAATTAGTTTAAGGCACGTCTTTTTTTAATACATATACATAGTAATTTAATTATTAATTAATTTTTTCAATTCACACATTTAAAGTTACAATTACACAATTCACTTATAACCATTGTACACCCCACTAATTCTCTTTCTATACACTTTTGATTGACCCTACTTCCACATTAATTCACCCGCGCCCTTGAAAAAAACTTTGGTCTAAAGTGAAATTTTCTCAATTGAAGACTTGAATAGAGGACCTCCATTGAAGACCATTATAAATCCTCAAAAATAGTGTTGAATGTAAGAGATCTTTCCATTTTCTTATTACATTTGTCATTTTGTTATTGTATTTATCATTTTTGGATTTATGTGCACTCAATTGGCATAAAATCTTCAATTTCTGTCTTGTGAGTGACAGTTTGGAACTTTTAGCACTGGTTTCCGAAAAAATAGATCAAATTCATATCATAACTACCGAATAAATTGTATTATTTTTACAAATTACTTCCAAAAAAATAAATAAAATATCGATTATTAATTTCCAAATTTGATGAATTTCTTCGGTTTTGTATTTATCTGCTCTTAACTCTCTCATTTGGTTGTAAATATATGAAATAAAATACCTGGGATAAAATTGAGTGAAGAATGTGGAACCATATGTTAATGATCAAAAGCAAACAGTGCTATGTACTAGTATTTAATGTGGAACCATATGTTAATGATCAAAAGCAAACAGTGCTATGTACTAGTATTTAAGGTTGATACCCTCTCCCTCTCTCTCTCTCTCTCTCTCTCTCCTCTTTTAGTTGGTAACTTTGACAGAACTCTGGTTGTTGCTTTAGTTAAAGATTTAAGTTTGGCATCTTTTTAAAAAGTTAAAAAATTAAAAAGTTATTATCCTATTTAAATCATATCATTTTATTTAAGTCATATCACTTCTCTACCATATCACTTCAAATTTAATCCATATTTTATAAAAAGTCAAAAAGTATATTTATTTAGAACATCCCAAACAAATATATGCTTAATAAGAGTTTTCTCTAGGTTTTTTTTTTTTTTTTGGTTTTTGAGCCTTTTTTGTGATTGGATTATTGGGTCACCAGCCTCACTGAAATGCCAATTAGTTATATGAGGTTCCAAATCAAAATTTACGGTTGTGTTTGATTGTGTTTTGAGATAAATTTTTTAAAAAAATTTTGGAGAGAGAGTTTAAGGGTTTGTTTCGTTTAGATTTCAAAACATAGTTTCATCATTGATTTGAGTGTGATATTTGGTTGCAGCTTTTAAATCATAATTCTACACTCATTTCTCAAAACTCATTTCAAATTATAATCATTATTTTTTAAAACTCATAACCAAACACACAACTCAAAACTCTTTTCAAAACTAAAAAACAACTTAATTGTTATTTTAAATATTTTTTATTTTATTCGAAATATTTTTAATATTTTAATTTTCTAAATAATTTTAAAATATTTTTAATATTTTTGATGTTTATACAGGCCTAAAAAATGAATTGACAGAAAAATTAATTGACATAGAATTTATTTGGAAAAAAAATTATTTGAAAAAAAAATTATTCAAAAAAATTACTTAAAAACAATTAATTAAAAAAAAATTATTTGAGTATTTTAAAAATAGTTTGATTATGACTATTGATCAAAAATACGGATCTCGAGTTATGAGTTGTGTGTTTGATTATCAATTATAGGTTGAATTAAGCTTTGAAAACTATTTTAAAAACTCATCGCCAAACAAATTTTCTTATTTCGGATGTCACATTAAACTTTCAAAACTCAATTCCACATACAATTTAAAACTCTATTAAAAAATCATAACCAAGCAAACTTAAAATACAACTCATCCTCTCAAATCATATTTACAAGACTCTACCAAATGCAACTTAAATTTTTTTTGGTTTGTTTGGTTATATATTTTGAAAATAGTTTTAGAGATTAAAAATTTGGAATGATTTGATATTTTGTTGTAATTAGGTAGACGTGTGATTGATTGATGTATAGGAGAGAGAAAGTGATTTTGAAATTTTTTAAAAAAAATTTAAACCAAATAAAATTTTAAAATTTTTTTAAAAAAAATTATATCTTGAGATATAACTAAAGAGGTCCTACATTTCTTGCCGCATTCTTTATCACTGAACAAAGTAGAGCAGGGTTTTCAATTGGATTGTGTTTTCAAGACTTCCTCCATGTGTTCTTCATCATTGAACATAATTGAGCATGATTTTCAACTGAATTATTTGTTTAAAGTAAAGTGACAATAATAAAAAAAAAATTAAAATTTAATTTTTTTTGAATTAAAAGGTGTACATTGAAATTTTTTTATTTGTAGAGAATTTTTTTTTTATATTATATTATGAATATTTCTGAATGTTTATTATAATTATTTTTATTTAAGATATAATTATTATTAAATTAATAATTCTTTCAGCTAATTAGGTTGTGAAAATAGAATTTCTCGGGCCTGAACAAAGTCGGTGTTTGTTTTAGATTTTCTTCAACTTTCTTTCGATTATGCACAACGATAAACCGACATCCAAACACTCCCTTTCCAAATCTCCCCGCAAAACCCTAGTCTCTCTCTCTCTCTCTCTCTCTCCAATGCAAAACCCTGGAGATTGAAGCTTGAATTACTGAAAAAGAACGATAACAATGGCTGCAATAGCTTGGTCTCGGCTTTTCTCCATCGTTTCCAAGCACAATCGACGCTTTTTCTCCGACATTGCTGCGAATCCTCACAGAGAACCAATTATCTCGTCCTCCTCCATCCTCAGCAACCAAGCACCGCCACCTCCGCCGTCGTCTAATCCTCCGCCGCCGTCTGATTCTTCGCCGCCGCCGCCTTCGTCCACCGGAGCAGAGAAGACATCGCGGAGTTTCCTCATGTACACCCTCGCCGCTGCCCTGACTGGAGGTGTTGCTGCTGCTGGTTACGCCACTCGCGGTTCGTTCCTCGTCAAAATTTTATGAAATTATTTTGGTTTTAGCAAAACATTTGAGTTCGTATTTCAATTGTTTGGAATTGTAGAGTCTGCAAATTTTTCTGAAAGTAGCTTTTTTTTAGCATTAAAATCAGTAAACTTGGTACTTGATGAGTTCTTTTGTATAACTTTAAGCTATCTTTGAATTGTTTGGAGTTCTAGAATTTTTTTTATTTTTTGTGTATGCAAGCTTCTAAAAGCGGTTGCGGTTGTGGTCGCGGTCGCGGTAGCTGTAATGGTGGCGGTGGCGCGGTTGCGGTTACGGGGTGTAAAGGCCGTAGCGTAACGATTGCAGTGATTGCAACCGTAAATTTTTTATTTTTATTTTTCGCACGATTTGAAAAAACTTGCCGATGCACATATTTTTTTTTCTATGATCATATTTATTGGATTTTAAAATAAATATTGATCAATTTTTATAAATTTTTAAGTATGATTCCATATATTTCATATTTTTAAATTACTGTAAACTGAGTTTTTTACATTTTATTTTAATAATTAATAACTTTATATTATACAAAAAATCAATCACTAACTATTATACGTAAGATAAGTAATGACAAAAGTAAGAGAATAAATAAGAGCCTAAATATACATATATTTTAATCAATCCAAATAGATAATGACCACACTTATTATTGTTATTATTATTATTATTATTATTTTCAAACAATATAGATAGACATACACAAACAAAATAATTGAGTGATAGCATCTGAATAGAATAGCATAAGTCTTACAGTTTCAACAAATAAATAACACGTTTTTCATCTTCTTTCTTTTCTCTCTCTATCTTTTGCTCCTCCATCTTCCCTCTTCTCTCTCTATCCCTCTTCCCCCATTTTCAGATTTTTTTTTTGCATGCTTTTTTTCGAAAGAAGCAGTTCGAAACCGTTATGTAACGGTGCGTAACAGGCCGTTACGGCTGTTGCGACACCTTTACGACCGCTACGGCCAACACATATAAATCTCAATCACACTGCAAAAGCAGCCGTCACGGGTGGTTGTAACCACCACAACCGTTACGTAATAGCGTTACGTAACAGTTGTGGTCGCTTTTTAAAACCTTGTGTGTATGTAATTAGTGGTATTCATGTACATATAGATGACACATGTACTCTGAAAAGAATTTTATTAATTCATGTATATCCATATATGTATTTAGGTCTCATTTGGAAACTTGGATTTTTAGTGATTGTTTGCCTTTTTTATGAGGTGAAAAAAAAAGTTAAATGTGTTTGGAGTATATCTTTTTTAGTTGAGTAGATAGTTGTGAGAGAAAGAATGATTGATGTGTATGATTTGACTTTTTGCTAGGGGTTGAATTTGTTGGCTTTTTGGCTTTTTTTAGCCAGAAGCCAAACAGGGCCTTAATTCCAGGAAGGGCATAAGCCTGTGATTGACCTAATGTATGTGAAATTGTTATTTTTTGACCCTTTTTGGTCTTTTTACTGTCCTATTTCGTTGAAGTTCTGCAGTTTGTTCAAGCCCTGCAATGTAGCATTGTGAGACCATGAAATATCCTCTCACATGGATTGTTGGTGAGATTCAACGAAGATAGTTCCATGAACCTGCAAGAGATAAATATGGTTGATGTCACCCAACCGGGGTTACCGGCCAGGACACTCCGATGATGAAGTTAGAATCCATGAATGAAGAATCAAAAATTGTAAAGAGTGTTTGTGTGCTGTGTGGAGCAGAGAGAGATCATCCCTATATGTCATGAGATGCCTTCTTTTTATAGACGGTGGGTGGGCCGAATAAGCCCACTAGTTGATCCCTTGGCAGGCCTTATTTGGGTTAGCCTAATAAGCTGAAATATATTTTTTTCTAGCTCCCACAATTGTCCCAAAACTTTCATTGTCTTCGATAGAAGCAATGAGAGTTTTTATTGCCGAGTTGTGCTGTTCAAACAGATGTTAGGTCTCTTGACAAAGAATACAGTTGATAAATAAATAACATGAATGAATGAATGACTGGATGAATATATGTATGTATGAATGTATGTACAAATATATGTGGTACATCAATAATGCACAATGGGACCATATAGGCCTAACATAGGGACCCCTTGGGTCTACATCCGACATCTTTTCAATGATGGGCCACGGTATTATAACCCCCGGACGAGGGTGTAGGCCGCGGTATTATAACCCCAGGACGAGAGTGGCGAGAGTGTAGGCCGTGATATTAGGACCCTCGGGCGAGAGTGTAGTGTATTGCCTAGTGCAAAAATTGCTTCAGAATATGGACTTCTGTGCCAAGTTAGAGATATTTCTATGTGCCGAGTACGGAAAGCTCCAAAATATGGAGGCGGTTGTTGGTGTCAGGCGGCGATCAATTGCAGACATTGCAAGAGGATAATGCCCCGTGTCAATGATTGCCTGTACCAAGTGCCGAGTGTGTAGCCGAATGTGTAGTATAATTGTGTATTGCCCCAAATTGTGTGAAAAGGAGCGAGAGTTTGGAACTCAAATAATTGTCGTTGTGTGTAATGCTTGTATCAAGTGGGCCGAGTATGCATGCATAGCAGAGGTGCCGAGATGATTATCGGCTGATATGCCCCAATTGGAAAGCAGAAAATTGGCTAAGATGTCCCAGTGGGCAATAAATGGCCAAGGTAGCGAAATGAACGATTGGGAAAGACGGAGGATTATTTCCTAACCCCAAGATCCTGCTGCTGAAATTACATGTCGATCAGATATGATATGACCGTTGAGCAATGTTGTAACACCCGAACGTTCCAGGTCGTTGATCTCAATATTAGGCGCGAGAGGCACGGAATTTGTAGAATTGGACTTCAAGGTGATTTCGGATTTGTTGCTGATACTCGGCCGACTGGATTATTGGGGGAAGTGGGAAATATGTTGAGTACACGGGAGTTGCCGAGAACAGTAGTGACCCAGTTGCAGGTGTATGAATGATGAATAGGTTTTTGAGCAGTAGGCTTTGACGCGGCTAAACAAAGATTGAACTACCAAGTTGCCGAATTGGTGGTAGAATTGCTTCCATTGTTGTGAACATGTACCATCGGATCACCATTGCCTCATTACTTGCGAATGACATTAGTTATTCGGAAGAAATGCAGATTTGACGTTGGCCAGATGTGCCGAGGAGTAAGCCAAGAACAAATTGTTAAAACGGATTCCGTGCCCCAGTGCTGTTGAATGACAATTGTTATTCGGAAGGAACTCATCCTTTTTTCAGCCGCAGCTTTGTTCGGAGCTTGGCATAATGAAGCCATCTTGTTAGGTTTTTGCACAGTAGGCTTTGACGCGGCTAAACAGAGATTGAACTGCCAAGTTGCCGAATTGGTGGTAGAATTGCTTCCATTGTTGTGAACATGTAACATTGGATCACCATTGCCTCATTACTTGCGAATGACATTAGTTATTCAGAAGAAATGCAGATTTGACACTGGCCAAAAGTGCCGAGGAGTAAGCTAAGAACAAATTTTTGAAACGGGTTCCGTGCCCCAGTGCTGTTGAATGATAGTTGTTATTCGGAAGGAATTCGTCCTTTTTGTCGGCCGCAGCTTGTTCAGAGCTTGGCATAATGAAGCCAGCGTTGGGCCTTTATTTGCCGATCACGCAGAGAATCGGGTTGCTTCTCGACAGCTAGTCAAGCTTTGGTGAAAATGTTTGCATTTGTGATCGGCACCGAGAAGAGGCTAGCTTGTCATGGGTGCTAAACGGTTTTGTCGAGATTTTGATCGGCATCAACATGAGCCATTCATGACAATTGAAGTTGCCTCCAGATCAGACTGTTTGAATTTATATGCATAGATATATATGGCCAGCCGACTACCATAATTAATTAAATAAGAATAATAATTTGTTTTTATCATAACTCATGGTCCATTCTAGAGAGAGAAAAAATTGAAGACTCGGCCTTGGATTCTACAGAGTTTTAGAATAGGTACACGTGCATACATGTCAAGAATCAATTTTAAGCTAAGTTTTGAGAAACAAAGAATATATAAATAAATAGACAGACCCGCGTATGGATTTAGCCAAGCAACTTTATTGAATTGCCGAAAAGATGTTTGCACCAAGAAAAGTGTGAAATCCATTTTTAGAGAGAGAAAATGGAGATGTAAAAGTAGACCCATGAATTCTATTCCGTTTTAAAACTTTTTCATCAACATAAGTTTGTATGCAGACACATACGTATATACAATTCAAGAACCCATTGAATCAGAGAGAATAGATCACCATCACGATGTTGTTAAATTTTTACTTACAGTACCATGTTTGCTATTTCTTTCGTTGACCTCTTTCAGATGTTTCTCACAAACGGCGCCAACTGTGAGACCATAAAATATCCTCTCACATGGATTGTTGGTGAGATTCAAAGAAGATATTTCCATGAACCTGCAAGAGATAAATATGGTTGATGCCACCCAACCGGGATTACCGGCCAGGAACATTCCGATGATGAAGTTAGAATCCATGATGAAAAATCAAGAATTGTAAAGAGTGTTTGTGTGCTATGTGGAGCAGAGAGAGATCATCCCTATATGTCATGAGATGCCTTCTTTTTATAGACGGTGGGTGGGCCGAATAAGCCCAATTGTTGGTCCCTTGGCAGGCCTTATTTGGGTTAGCCCAATAAGTTGATATATTTTTTTTTCTAGCTCCCACAAGCATAAGTCTATAGGTTTAATAATTCTTGTGAAGGCACTTCCTTAAAAAAAATAATAATAATAAATGAAAGTTTTGATCACTTTGACTCACACTAGCAAGTTACAGGTAGCTCAGAGAATTTTAGAACATTCGAGAGATGAAGGTTTAACAAATAATAAGTACAGATAAAAGCTGCCTTAAGTTGACAATTAATGGTTTAGATAACTGTCATATGTATTCTCTAAGTCTGTATGTATATGATGAAACACATATCATGCCTTTACTTGATTGACTAAGATTTTACTTGTAAATTTTGGTTTTTTGATTCAGTTATTGTTTGAAATTTGGGATGATTTTATGGAGTACTCTTTTTATGTGGAATGGATTGATCTAAATTGTGTGTGATGGCAGGAACTGATTGAAAACAATAATGTTGGAGCTCGACACACACTTATACTTGATTTTATTAGAAGTGATAGTCTTTGTTTGGTTATTTTGGAAAGTTGATTTGGTCATCATTTGCAGCATATTCATTGGATGAAGTAGATGAGAAGACAAAGGCTTTGCGTGCATCAGCAAACTATACAGTAGGGGATGATGCATCCGCTCTTGATGTGAGTCGGACTTAGCACTTAGTTATTTTATTAGTAAATAGTAATTATGTTTTTTTTTGGTGAAGTAAATATGGTAATGGCCTTGCACTTCAAAAATCCAAAGACTAGAAGTGTTCTATCCAGGTATGGAGCTGTTTTGCTCATGAAGAAATTGCCAAGGGTTGATAAATTTTATCCACTGTTCATGAAGCAAACTTTTTTTGATAAGTCCATTGTTTATGAAGCAATTAATATTGAGGTTTGCCAAAATGTTGAGTTGAGTGCCAATACTTAATTTTCAAATATCAGCACTTATTTTAATTTATAGAAGTGCGAATACACAATTTTATTTATATCCAATGTGTTAGTTGATTGGTTAAAGTGACGAACATAATAATGTGAAGAATAGTTTTTGATGGAACGGACTAGAGTTCTGAATCTTAGGAAGCTTTTTGTTAGGATTATGGTTAGATAGTTACATTTATGATCGTGGGTTAACAGTTATGATTGAGGCACTTCAGAATGGGATGGTTCATGGATGCTTGAATATGTTTTACATACTGGTGTTGGACAAGTTGTGTCATGTTTAAAGTATCTACTGTTTGAGAGATACCTAATTGTGGCATCATTGCCTGAAGAGGGGAAGACATTCCTAACTACCTGTATTGCCCATCTCTAGATATATTTGCTCTTATTTATTTATTTATTTTTCCATAACAAGCCTAAATTCCCCCACCCCGTTCTAACACACGCACAGATTTGAAACTCAATTCTGCTGATTTGTGAGAAATGATAATAATTGAACACCTGACTTTAACCCTTGCTTTCAAATGCCATGACAACACAACACGGTGCTACAACAACTTTGAATAGACAGTTTTATTAATTGGTGTGACACATGTATGTATGTCTTACATGTCTATATATGATACAACAGATATTGTTGCTTCAATATTTTTGAAAGTTGAGTCAATCAGAAAATAACATACTGTTATCAATCTTTTATGCAGAAATTTCAAGCTTTTCTCTATGCTGCTGCAATGACAGGTGAGATCTTCAAACTTTATGTTCACATCACTCATGGAACATTTTGCTCGTGTTATGTTTTATACATTCCATTCCTTGGAAATTTTATTTTGTCCTTTGACCGATTCTCTTTTTTCTTGGGGGTTAGTATCTTGGAGGTTAACCTACCAAAACGACCTTCTTGATATTAGTTGTTCATTCTTGTCATTGTTGTTGTTTTATACCTGTCAAAGAAGTATTTTTATTTCCTATATGGAGAAGTTATAATATTTAAATGGTTCTTTGAAGAGATTCCAAACTTACATAGAAAGGATATTATTACTTCTTATTATAAGTAGTGTTGCACTTGCATCTCGTTGCACTTTTAGCGGATTACTTTCTGCTATCAGATTTGATTCTTCATAGACATGCTTGGTGGCATGTAGTAAATATTGTGGTTGCTATAAAAAGTGTTTCAATTTCCTGCATCTCCTTTGTGTTTGTCATGATTCCCAGTCCATGAAATTCATGCCACAGGGGAGGCAATGATCTCTGAAAATGCTAGTAGAGCAATTTGCACATAGACCCACACATTTTGGGTTCATGGCTAAGCTTTTCAATTAATGGAGTCTGCATGGTAGAAATTTACTGATGATGTGGTTGAGGTGGCAAAGTACATCAATTTCTTTGGGGCTACAGCTTGTATTGTTCATGCAGAATTAATTCCCTTTCTGTATTTTCATTATTGTCGTCATTATTACCAATACTATCATATTGTTGTTAACTTGTTATTATACTTAGAAAATATGAGGAAGAAGAACTCCAAAAATATGAGGAAGAAGGAATATATTTCTGTTATATTCAAAACTTCTTATCATACAAGACCAAATGACACTCCTTATATAGGAGATATTACAAACATCATCATAACCCATTATATGCCACTTACATATTATATATTACCACTATCTACCACTATCATATTATATACATGCCATTATCTACCACCAACACCACTATCATATTCTATACATGCCACTATCTACCACCAACACCACTATCATATTCTATACATGCCACTATCTACCACCAACACCACTATCATATTATATACATTAACACAATTTCCAGCAATTATCAATTATTGTTATAGCTAAAAATTACTTTGTTCTGATATTTAGTGCCAGCGAAGTTGGTTGAACTTTACTTAGATCTGAGAAGGATGTCAGAGGAACATGTTCGAGTGAGTAACTTTATACTTATATTTTAACTCATCACCAATTTTGTATTAATTATCTTTCTTCATTGTAGGGTTTTACTGAACCATCCTCAGATAAGCTCCTCCCAGATTTGCACCCCATGGAGCAGCATGTGTTCACGCTTGTTCTAGATCTAAATGAGACATTAATATATTCTGATTGGAAGGTAAGGTTTTGACAAAACAGGTTACTTTATTTGCTATTTTTTATGGATGCTTGGTTTTAACCATCACCTGGGTTGCATGGCAGTACAACATTTATTTGTTAATGTTTTTTTGTCATCATGGTATATATATATTTTTTGTTACCTCTTATCACAAAAGGGCTCAGTTCATCTTCATCGTTATGATATTTGATTTTTGTTTGCATATGATTTATGTTTTAGCTCTCATTGCAAAATTGTTCATTTCTTTTATTGCTACTCGTACAAAAATGGAAAATGGTTCAGAATGAAGGATTTGATTCTGAGTTGGCTCACATGTTAATGACATTTCTCTCTCTCTCTCTCTTGGGAGAAAAACATGCACAGCGTGACAGAGGCTGGCGAACATTCAAAAGACCTGGCGTTGATGCCTTTTTGGAACATATGGCTCAATTTTATGAAATTGTAGTTTATTCTGACCAGCTGAATATGGTAATTTCAATTTTTCCCTGCTTAAATTGTTTTACCATTTATTTTTTTAATTGTATTGTCAGTGACAGTATCTGCCTTCATGGCTGACACAGTATGTTGATCCTGTTGTTGAAAGATTGGATCCAAAGCACTGCATACGGTATAAGCTATCTAGGGGTGCAACTAGGTATCAAGGTGGGAAGCATTACAGGGTAAGTTGATATTTTTTCTTTCGCCCATATATGTTTCCTCTTTTTCAATAAGAGGAGATTGATCTATTGTTTATATAATTTTGTTGTCTGTGTAAACAAAATTTGGTACTCAGAAAAGTTGAGTTATACCTAACACATTCATTCCTCACTGAATTGAAGTTGAGATTCTGACTTTAAGATTATGAGCAGGTCTGCAGGTGTATGACCAGTACCATGCATTTAGTATTAAAGAGTGTGACTGCCCTTAAATGGACTTGACTATGCCATGTGGTTGAATTTGTTTGTTTTTTATGGCATTCTAACCCACCCTGAATTGTTTGTTAACCCTTTATCTTGAACCATATTCTCCTTATGAACCATAGTAGTGTGGAAACTTTTATGTGAGTTGTGTCATTGTTGGACACTGACCCTTAATGTCATGATTTTGGACACTTGTCTGGCACTTCTTGGGCACTTGGCATACACTTTTTCTGAGCAGTGTCTGGTGTTCCTTGAATTAGGAAAAATAAAGAGAGTAAGCACCCTGAAGCTGTCTTGTGGCTGAATTCGTTGCTTCTATGTTATACCAACCCACCAAGCAATCTGCTGAATTCTATTTCAATTCCATCCTCTTACTTTGTGCAGCAAACAAAACAATTTGAAAGAAACCTATGAAGCATCCTAAGAATACATCACAAGGGAATTCTACATGTAAGGCTGCAAACGAACCGAGCCGAGCCGAACTTTTGCTGAGTTCGAGTTCAGCTCGTTTACTTATCGAGCTTGTTTATTAAGCTCGAGCTCAGCTCGATAAGGAATTGGGCTTGAGCTCGGCTCGGCTCGGCTCGGCTTGATAAATTTTTTTTAATATAATTTATATTTTTTAAATAAAAAATATTATTTAATATATAAATAATATATTTATTATATAATTTAAATAAAAATAAACGAGCTGAGTTTGATAAGCCAAGTTTATTCAAATAGATGAGCCTAATATTCAAGCTTGAGTGCAGCTCGTTTACTAAACGAACCGAGCCAAACCAAGCTTTTAATGAGCCGAGCCGAGCCGAGCTTGTTCATGAACAACTCAGTTAATTTGCAGCCCTAGCTACATGAGAACCCCTTATAATTATACTCCTAGGAAGTTGAAAATTTTAATAAATGTAGTTCTTGCTGGCAGGATCTCTCAAAGCTGAACCGAGATCCTGCAAAGATTCTTTATGTGAGTGGTCATGCACTAGAAAGTAGCCTTCAGCCGGAGAATGGTGTCCCAATTAAGCCATGGAAGCTTGAAGAAGATGATACAGCCCTTGTGGATCTTATTCCATTTCTCGAATGTAAGCGTCCTGCTATTACCAGATTATGTGATGTTCAATCTACTAGCTAAGCTTAAATGCAATGTTTGGACTTACAAGTTTCTTGGTTTGAGTGCAGATGTTGCTCGACATAGGCCCGCTGACATTCGACCTGTGCTAGCTTCGTATCAGGGACATGATATTGCGAAAGAATTCATTGAGCGTTCTAAAGATTATCAGAGGTAAGTTTCTTTGCATATTGTATTTTTGCCATTAGAGGACATAGAAGTGAAAAGTTGCTAGCTTCATGGTTATTGAACTATCTCTTGATTATTATTATTATTATTATTTTAAATTTGGAATCTACTGGGCAAACAGCAAACTGTATGATTTTCAGTCCAAGTGGGACAATTTGATTATCATTTTCCTTGACTCCCACATTGAATTCATGAAACTAGGGATGGCCACGAGACAGGTTTGTCATTCCCCGCCCCCGCCCCAGCTCCAATCCCCTTACGGGTAGAATTTTTCAATCCCATTCCCGCCCCTGTGGATACCCAGCCACATTTTAAATAGTCAAAAAAATTGAGAACTATTTAAATCCTTTAACACACTAAATAATTTATCTTGTTTTTGTATATATAAACAGGGAGACTTTTAGAATTATTATTTATTTATATTAAACAGAACCACCACAACCTTTTAGTATTCCTTTCTTATATCTAATTATATTATATATATTATCAATTATGCCGAGTCTTTTTTGATTGCTTCAGATTGGGTGTCAGTTTATTTTGTATAGTCGTAGCTGGTTGTCTTTTTGTCTTTTGGTTTGGTTTCTTTTTGGTTGTATTCTTCTTTCTTCTTTCTTCTTTCTTGTCAAGGATGCCTTATCCTCTCTTCTTTTTTGCCTTGAGCCTTAATAAAATGTCTTTTCTGTTGTTGATCAAAAAAAAATTATATCGAGTTAGGTTTGGATCCAGGAAGCAACACCCGCCCCACCCTCATCCCATTGTGGGTGACCAAAATATAATCCACCTCTGCCCCACATAAGTGTCGGATTGGGTAAAATCCACCCCATTTAGACGGGTATGGGTGGCCCCCCATGGATTGGACTAAAATGGCCATTCCTACCTGGAACCATTCAGCATTTCCCAATGTTCTGTCAAGACGCCCAAAAATGATAAAAATTCCTGCTTTCGCAATAAATTTCATGAAATTTAGGGGTTGTCTGGGGTATCATAAATAAGTGTACTTTTTGTCTTTTTAGACTAAAAAATTAAGGAAAAAAATATGAATATTTGGGTTAACTTTTTGACTTTTTATGGAAAAATGTGTATTAAAAAATTATAAAAATTGGTTTGTAGGAAAAAATTAGGATTAGGAGTTGTGCAGCCATAATTGTTGACTTTTGGTGAATAGTGTTAACTTTTTAACTTTTTGAGTAACTTTTTGACTTTTTGGCTTTTTCTTATCTTTCCAAACTTGGCCTTAGAAGCAGAGAAGGCTGCCCACTTACAGATGTTATAGATGAAGAAAAACGAGGGCTTGATCCAAACACTAGGATGTTTGAATTTTCTTCATTATTATGCAAAATCGTGTGATGTTCTTGTAATGGCTCAATCCGGAAGAATGATTTGTGCCCTAAAGTTCTTAAAAAAAAACCAAATTAAATAATTCCATGTTTGTAAATGGTAGAATACTCTCTAGAGAGAGCTTTGGTATTCAGTGGAACTTAAGTTGTTTCGTTGCATTTTACATGACATGTGAAATGTGAACTATTCTTCATGGCATTGAAATTAATGTTGAGTTTTTGTAGATTTCTTCATTTTACATTTTGATCCTATCATTGGCCGATTAGAATGTTGTGAAAATACGGAAGGAAAATAGGAGAAAAAAAATTAGATTAGAGTATTTCTTTGTGTGTTTATACTTAAAATTTACATCACACAATAATACCATACAAGCTCAAGTCATGACTTTTATCCCGCTGACTCGAATTTGGTCAAACGGTGCAGGCGAATGCAAGAGCAGAAACAGCAAGGTCGTTTCTGGCGGCGCTGAGGTAAAAGTTCAGTGCTGTGGAAATTATAGAATTTGAATCGGCTTTCGAGGAAGTAACGGCTGAATATAGACATGTCATAAATTTGTAAGCCGTAATATGTGAAAATCATTTTCAGGTTGAGTGAAGATGATTTGGCACTCAATCAGATGCCAACGATAGTATTTGTAGTTCTTTTTTGGGTCCCCAACATGATATCTTGCTATTTTTTCCCAGTTGATCACTGTGAATCATACAACTGTTTTTGGGAATAGCCATTCAATTTACTGTAGACTTAGAATTTGTGTTTTTCCCGTTTCTGTGTTTCAAATTTGATTTGTACCACCGATGGGAGTGAACTTCACATAATAAATTCAGTATTTGTCATCCTTGAGTTTTGTAGAAGGGATTCTGAAATTATCAAAATCAAGTTGTTTTCTAGGGTATATTTTTTTAACACGTTATTAATTATTAATGTTCATATGGATGTGATTAGCTTTTTGTGCCAAATGTTCATGTGATTCTTGTATTAGCGTTTTAAGGGAGTTTTTTTTTTTAGTAAATATTTTAAAAAATTAAATTATTTATCAAACTCATTGGCTTTTTAAAATTGCAGGTTCAGGATGCACTATTTCATCACGAAATTGCATCTTGAACATGTGATTTCATGTTTGCATTGCCCACGTCTGCCAGATTAGTGGGTCATGTCAATAGGAAATTACATTATGAACTATTGATTTTATGAAGTCACATTTTGAGTTTGTGTTTTCAGAAAAAGTAGGTTAGCTTGATAAATAATTTGAAAAGTGAGTTATTTGAATAAATAATTTGATTTTTTTAGAATATTAAAAATAAAAGAAAAACTCGGCTTTAATGTTGTATTTGGATTTTACATTCGTGGAGTGAAGAGAAGAAAAAAAGACAAAAGATAGGAAAACAAAATAAAGTAAACGAACCTAAGGGTCTGTATTGTACTGTTTTTGTTTTCGTTTTTTTGTTTTTAATTTTGGAAAAACATTACAAAAATCTTGTTTGATAATTTGTTTTTGGGAATTATTTTTTTAAAGCAACTTACTTTTTAGGAGACCTCAAAATGTTTATTTTGAATTTTTCAAAATTATTTTTGCACAAAAATAAAAATGATAAATGTTGTAATATTTTAATAATTTTTGTTTTTGAAAAAGCATGAAAAAACAAAAAAATAATAAAATGAAAATGACACCAAATATGTAAATGAAAATTTTCTTTTTTTTGGTCTAGACTAGTTAGAAAAATGAGACGAACATAAATACCTATTAGTTAAAATTATATATATATATTGTTTAATTTTCATACAAAATAATACACACGAGATTTTATTTTTCATACAATTTGTTCTTTTCAAATTTATACAACAGAAGAATTGTACAAATTTTTTATACAAAATAATGTTCTTTATTATAATACAAGGCTCATTATTACGGTCATAATTTATAAATATTATAATATTACTTTTAAAGTAAATTTGGTATAAAATTTAGATAATATTACATTTTTCATTATTTTTTATTGAAAAATCTAATATTCAAAAGTAGCTATTGGATATGAAAAGTACCTCGCAATTTTAAAATTTAATGCTAACATCATTGTCCAAACAAAGCCTAAAGTCTTTGTTCCTGCCAACGTGAATTTAAAGCTAACTCTCAGTGGTCCAATTAAAAAGTTGTGGTCTTCCCAACTTTGCTCTCATTCACATTCGAATCATCTTTCACGCACATAAAATTATTGAATAGACTCAAAATATTACAAATTATTATTTATATAATTTTTTCAATAAGTAGGAAATTATAAAATAAATTAGGTGAATCATATTATTTCTTGCAATTATTTGACAAAATTAAGTTCATATAATCTCAATCATAAAAAAAAATTAAAAAAAATTACATCATAATAATTAAAAATACTATGTAAATTACTCTAACACTATTCAAATTTATGATGCATCAATTCATAATTCATAATACTATTCTTATCAAAGATAAGATACGGTCAATTATTATTTTTAATTGTAAGATTCTTTACCATCACTATCTAAAGTCTAACCTTTCTTCATATTTATAAAAATTTATATTAAAATGGAATTTATTTTCCAAACCATCTTTTGTAGTTTAAGGACCCAAAAAAAAAAAAAAAAAAACTTCATTTTCAAGTTACTGGCATGAATTTTTGTTTTCGTTTTTTTGGATAAAAATATTGTTACACACATACAACGCGAGTTTTCGTATTATTTTAAAATTTAAAAATTCAATAACTTTGTATTTAGATTTTCATTTTTTGGTAAAATTCATATCTATAGAATCTTTTTATATGATCTATCAACAAAATACATAAAATAAAAAAGGAATTTAAATGAAATAAAATAAAAACATTTTTAATGAACTTTTTTGAATTTATTTACAAATATTTTACTTTTAAGTGCTTAGATGCACTTTTAAGTATTTCCAAAAAACAGTTAAAATATATTTTTAAAAATTCACTAAAAGTATGAATAAATAAATCAGTTTGCAAATCAAGCATTATGAATATCACTTGCATTGCACCTTTACATTTGAGCAATTATTTTTATTTTTTATTTACTTATTTATAAATTTGTTTAAAAATTATTATTAGCATATTATCTGTATATAAGCTTTGTTTGGCATAAGGTTTTTTATTATTATTATTTTAGGCATAAAAAGATAAGATAAGTTAAAAAAACAAATAAAATAAAATGTCACATTCAAACCATAATTAATTCATTTTTTTCTCTCTAAAAAATCAAAAAAATTATTCCAAACAAAAAATTTTAGTTCTAAACTAAAATAACTAAAAAATTAAAATGGCACAAAGCTAATTCACATGCCAAACGAAGGCATGAATTAGCCTACCATTCAATCAAGCATGGTTAGAGCATTCCTACCAGATTACTTAAATTTTACTCTAAAATATTATTAAAAAATTCATTCCTTATTTTAAGTATAATTTTTTCATTTATTTCTCCTAATAGACTCCCTATTATTTACCTATTCTAGTAACAAACTTCATATTTTTTCTCTATTTTATTAAAATATAATTTTTTAAAAATAAAAATCATAAATGTGTATTGCAGTCCCTAAACAAAACAAAACAAAACAAATATATTTATATATATATATATATAAATTACAATGACTCCTTACAAATAAAAAATTACTGTAATAATTCTTATTTTAGAGAAGTACTTAAGGACTCTAATGAAAATGTATAAAGAGCCACTAATCCCTTAAAATAGATAAGAATGAAATTTAAAAACTCTATTCACTTTGTTTGGTTTCAATTTTTTAAAAACAGTTTTCAGAAAATTTTATACTCTTATTTTTCGTGTTTTTTTGTTTTTACTGAATTTTTTAAATATTTTATGCAAATTTTTTACTTTTTAGACATACGTAACATAAATACATCTAAAAAGTAAAAAAATTGTAAAAAAATCTTTTAAAAATTTACTAAATATCAAACATACAAAAAAAATACAAGAATTTAGTATAATTTTTGTATTTTTATGTATTTCTTAATTTTTTAAAATAATTTTTCATAATTTTTTTATTTTTTAGACACATCTAAGTAAGGTGCATCTAAAAAAATAAAAAAATAAAACATACAAAAAAAAATACAATAATTTAGTACAATTTTTGTATTTTTATGTATTTCTTAATTTTTTAAAATAATTTTTCATAATTTTTTTATTTTTTAGACACATCTAAGTAAGGTGCATCTAAAAAAATAAAAAAATATATATTTAAAATTTTAAAAATATTCACTAAAAATATAAAAATATAAAAATCAAAAAACTTAATTTTCAAAAAAATTAATCTAAAAAATTCAAACCAAATACAGTGATTACGATGCTCTTATATCTCTATCAATGGGTGGAGAACCTCGTTGGTGCTTTCGGAGTCGTCAACATCATCTTTAGAAATAGTCTTGGTCGTCGCGCATTTAAAGCATCCCCACCAATTTTTTTAATTTTTTAATTAAATTAAAGTTATTTTATTATTTTAACGGTAAATTACATTTACCTCTCCTGAGGTTTTTGACAAATACAGATATCTCCCCTGTGGTTTGAATAATTACAGTAACCTCCCTTACTTTACCTGACAATATCAAGATTCCCCCAAAATTTAACCGCCGTTTATGCACCTAGCCGACCCTGCTGATGTCATCAACTGTAAACACAAAAATACCTAAAATGCCCTCAAGTGCCTATAATGCCTGTAATGTAAACACTAAAGTGCCCAATGTAAACACTTAATTTTATTTTTTTATTTTAAATATATATTTTTTATTTAAATATTTTATTTTATTTTGTAAATATTTTAATTTTTTAATTTTAAGATTTTAAACTCAAAATACAATTTCAGACTCAAATCGTAACTAAACACATAACTCAAAACTCAATTCAAAAATTATTTTCAAACCTCATAACCAAACACATAACTCAAAACTCTATTCAAAAATTATTTTCCAACCTCATAACCAAACACCCTCAATATAATTCGAGATTGGGGTTAAGACACTACAAATCCATCCCTGTCCCACTCTGCCCTATTGCCATTCCTTATACAAACTAATAAATTTTACTTATTAATTGATGTGTCATACAATAAATAAATAAATAAATTATCTTTTACTGAAAATAAATGTAGAATTTAGGAATCTTCACATATTGGATTGGGTCAAGTGATCTCTTATCCATCATCCGTCCGAATTTAGACAGATTGAAAAAAATCAATCTGCATCTATTCACTCGGCTGATGCAAATTAAGCGAGTCGTATGAGTTGACAGGTGAATGTGGATTGGTTTGGCGGTTTCAAATTTATTATTTTAAGTCTTTTTCAAACTATCTTTCAACAATTCTTTACTATTTTGTACTAAAAATTTTTTATTGTTAATTTTTTATAATAAAAATAAAGGCTCAACTTTCATGTTTCACAAATAGTAAATATAATTACTAAATAATTTTTTTTTTTTTAACACAAAGCATAAAAGCATAATTTTATTTTTTTAAGAGGGTTGGCGGATCGGGTTGGGTTGGTGGTTTCCCATTCACCATCTGTCTGAACCTAGGCGGACTAGAAAAAATACATTCGCATCAATTCGCTCAAACTATTGAAACCGTCCATTTTGTGACGGATTGATTTGGGCCATTCAATTTTGACAAATTAAGTGCATGCTTACCCACCCCTAGCAAAATTTTCAACTAAAATGATGTTGCAGTTGCATTTTTGCCATTAACAATGATCTTGAAGATTTTTTTGTTCTAAGGTGACGGGCCAACAATGTAACCATATCATTTTGTATAAGTTTTTTATATAATTTTTTTATTTGTATAGT